GGCGCCATGTCTACCGAGGTGGCCGCTCGATGACAGGCGGGTCTAAGTAAATCCTTGTTTTTAAATTACGATCACACGCGATCCGGATTCCAAGAAAAGACTGGTGAACGGAATTTGCACATATCTTAAGCACTTTCCCGCGGCTAGGTAAACTGATGTAAATTTGGTTCGAGCGATCGTGTTTTGTGTTGCTCCTAACACCATCATCTCAGCAGTAAGCAGCACAAGCCTTAATTGAGACGCGTTTTTCCATTTCCTGACTCGATGCAGGCCATCTCGATTCCCTTTTGGTATTATTCTTCACAGTGTCATAGGTACAAAACCGGGTCACCTATCATAGAAAATGCTCCGAGCTAAACCACAGCTTGCCATTACGCTACATAGATGTCGCTACCACCGGCCGAGTGCTATGGTTCTATCGTCCCGCGCAGTCACTGGTCGCCCGCCTGATACGTTCGATTGGTCCGTACGGCAGCGTCATGGCCAAGGCCATAGAACAGATCATGGCATTAGTTCTATGGCAAAAGCTCCCACGGACAGGAGCGCTACGACATCACTTATACGCGACATTACTTCTACTACAGCAAACTATGCAGACTTTACCTTCAAGCATTGTAGCTTCTTCTGCAAAGACGCCCACACACAACATGAGAACTACATGACAAAATGTATGCTTCAAAAACTGATACGCGTCATTACGTCTGCTGCAAAGACTGATATAGTATTTACTCGTACGCGGCGTTAGTTTTGTTGCAATATCTCATGCACGACATGAATGTTATTCAACAAAACTTATTACTGTAAAAACTTTTACTCGTCTTTACTTATACAGAAAAGACAAGTAGTCTATAATTATACAGATCACTTCTACTGCAAAAACCCATATACAAAAAATTACTACTCGACAAAAGTTATACGGAAAAAAGCATATACCAGTCATCACCTCTGCAGCAAAAACTTTACCAAGGTCATTACTGTGGCACTAATGGTGCATATAAGTCTTCGCAGCAAAAGTAATGCCGTGTATAAACAATTGCTGTACACATTTTCAAAGTGGATGCCATGACGGGGGTAAAAGCTACCATATATATACATCAAAATAGTACTTTATACATTTTTAAGTACAATTTTGTCGTGTAGCACTACTGTTACGTACACGTCTTTACTGTTGAAGTAAACCCATGGATAAGTAATAATTATATGTAGTGCAGTAGAAGTAATGACGAGTATACATTTTTGAAGCACAAGTTTTGTCGTGTACCACTAATATCACGCATAACTTTTTGCGGTAGAAATAATTTCCTGCATAACTAATGACTGTATAAGTGTTTGCGGTAGAAGTAATAATGAGCATAAGTTTTGCGGCATGTCTTTTGTCGCGTAGCACTAATGCTCTGTATCAGTATTGGCAGTACAAATAATGGCGTAGCACTCAGTATCTGCAGAGCTTTTTTGTTGCAGCACTAGTGTGGTGTAAACCCGTATATTATGAGGTCGACATGGCGTCATGAAATTTGGCGCCGTCTAGCTTGTTTTGGCTTTTTGATGAAAGCCGAACGGCATACATTTTAAAGGATTTCACGCAGAATTTATGTGTGCCGCGCAGAAACCTTTGAGGATGCTGGGTCGCTCTGAGACAACTGTGATACAGAAGCTTCAAGTGATGAGATGCGAAAAAAACGGAATGTGGTATGAAGCGTGATAAGAACGCATCGTGGAAGCCAATGATTCGGTATTTCAACTTATGGCCGTGTTTGATCCGTCATCAGCATGTTTGTCAGCAACGATCACAACCCGGTATTCGCCCCACATCACATCACGTTATCACAAGGTCACGAGGTCTGTGACGTCACGCGCCGGCTGACGATAATGCCAAGACATGTTGTCAGCCGGTCAGCATGGAGAGAAAGCGCTACCAAATTAAGAAATCACTCTGAAAAAGAAGCGGGAGTTTAATTTTGGTAGCTCTTGCATTGTCGAGTACGTTAGGTGGGGTCGGGGCACTTCTCTAGTTTGGGGGGAAGTGCCTCCTAAGAGAGATAAGGAGAGAACTGAACTGCCAAGAGTAGCCGTAAAAAGGTGAGTGACAGTGATCGGTGTGGTGTGTGGTTGCGTTCCCCAGTAAATTAATAGCGTTATAAGAAGGCGCTTATAATGAGAGGGGAAAATGAAATAAGTTGGAAATGGGAAGAGGTACTCAACATACGGGTGGGATAGATGATATCAATACCGGAACAGAATCCACGCTTCCAAACATCACTTTAAGGCGGTGCGTCATGGTCGGCAGTAAACCAGAGTTTATGTGTGGTCTGAAGTAAAAGGTAAAGGGAGATGGAAAAGCAAAATTAGCAAACTTGCCCCTCAACCCATACATCGAACGCCCCGTCAGCACGCATGACGTCACGCATTCCAGATGACAAACGTGATGACGACAGAACGAACGCAGCCCATGACATGCTTTAAAACATACTCGAGCGTTTCTCTTGCAAACAAACTAACGGCATGAAATACGTCTCCAAACGACGAGCATCCTAGAATTCTGCCGCGGGGTATACGCCAGTGGAACGACACCGAAGACATACCAGCTGACATATGACGTATCACCTGATCTCACGTAAATTCTGTATCATCCTGCATTTATCGAAGGCCACCTGTGTCTCCGCGCTCCTAACCGGGTGGAAACGCGGAGGTGCATCCCCTGATGTCTGTTGGCGGCTCCAAACGTTGGCGTGTGTTGCTCGTGTGAGATCAAGTCGAGGAAGCTCGCCTGATACATACCTCTGGCCAGATCAGGAGCCGACTGAAGTCAGTGCTAACGAAACGCACTCTATTTCACTGGAACCTGTGTCTACGTAGGGACACTCCAGAAACTGCAAAACACGCTCAGTCTCTGCCGAACCTTGCCAACCGAGACACACTCAGTCTCCCAAGCCCGCCATCCATCAAGACGCGCTACATCTCCGGAGCCCCTGTGTCCGCCGCGACACGCTCCCTCTTCCCGGAGCTTCTGTCCACCGCGACACGCTCCGTCTCCGGAGCCCCAGTCCACCGCGACACGCTTCGTCCCCGGAGTCCCTGTCCACCGCGACACGCTCCGTCCCCGGAGCTCCTGTCCACCGCGACACGCTCCATCTCTTCAGAGCCGCTGTCCGCCGAGCCATGCTCCGTTGCCAATGTGGGCCAGCAGTGAAGGTCGCAGGCCGAGCCGGATGTGTGCCGTCGCCGCCTGCTGAACCCCTCTCCGTCGGATGTCAAGGTGACGCGACAAAGAGGTGCGACGCTGGCCGGCTGACCCGTGACGTCACAGGAGCCCAGTGGCCACCGGACGCGTCGTCTTTTCAACGGGCGCTACGCTCCGTTGCCGGGCGGCGTTGCGAAAACGGCGACAACGGCCGGACGCGTCTGTGGTGTGGCTGCCCGGGGCGTCCGGTGCCGGGGTGGACGCCGAGGCGGCTGCAGTGGTGCTTGGCTGGCCGCCGCGGAAGGAGCGTCTTGTGGTAGTCTGTCCTGTGCTGCTGGTGGTGGGTGAGAGTGAGGGAGACGGGTGCTGACCACTCCGGCCACACGCCACGTGGAAGCCGATCTGGACTGTGCTGTGCTTGGGCTGTACTTCGGAGTGAAGTCTGCGTTGCAGTGCATTTGTGAGTGTTACTCCGATCAGAAATTTGGAAATGGGAGGCCGGCTTAAGATCTTGCTGAAAATAAGCATGGCAATGACAGCGGTAAAAGCATAGTCACGAATGAACATAGCTGAGGAGAAACATAGTTATGAGCCTTGATCGTCTTCATCACAGCGTTGATCCTTTGTCATTATGTTCACAAACATAAACACGATATAGCCTAGACCATCATAGCAATGATGCGTTCAGGACGTGATAATCATACAAAGTTACAACTGGAAAGGGAAAACCATATGCGTCAAACACCATCGAGGAATAGCTAATCTGAACACCACAGTCGACCTGCTCCCAAATACACATCCCGCGAAAGAGGAGCCACAATTGGTGGCATCGATGTCATCCATCCACATAAGGCCAGGAAGTGTCCCCTGCGCACCGCATATGTCCCTCGGCCCGTCGCAGCCAGCAGCGAGACAGCCGACCTGCGCCGCGAAGACTGAGACCGGTCGGCCCCTGCCCTGCCGCAGACTGACTCTGACCGGTCGTCCCCTGCCCTGCCGCAGACTGACTCTGACCGGTCGTCCCCTGCCCTGCCGCAGACTGACTCTGACCGGTCGTCCTCTGTCCTACCGCAGACTGACTCTGACCGGTCGTCCCCTGCCCTGCCGCAGACTGACTCTGACCGGTCGTCCTCTGTCCTACCGCAGACTGACTCTGACCGGTCGTCCCTTCCCTGCGGCATACTGACTCTGGCCGGTCGTCCTCTGTCCTACCGCAGACTGACTCTGGCAGGTCATCCTCTGTCCTACCGCATACTGACTCTGACCGGTCATCCTCTGTCCTAGCACAGACTGACTCTGACCGGTCGTCCTCTGCCCTGCCGCATACTGACTCTGACCGGTCATCCTCTGTCCTACCGCATACTGACTGACCGGTCGTCCTCTGTCCTACCGCAGACTGACTCTGACCGGTCGTCCCTTCCCTGCCGCATACTGACTCTGGCCGGTCGTCCTCTGTCCTACCGCAGACTGACTCCGGCCGGTCGTCCTCTGTCCTACCGCATACTGACTCTGACCGGTTGTCCTCTGTCCTACCACAGGCTGACTCTGACCGGTCGTCCTCTGTCCTACTGCATACTGACTGACCGGTCGTCCTCTGTCCTACCGCAGACTGACTCTGACCGGTCGTCCTCTGTCCTGCCGCAGACTGACTCTGACCAGTCGTCTCTGTCCTGCCGCAGACTGACTCTGACCGGTCGTCTCTGTCCTACCGCAGACTGACTCTGACCAGTCGTCTCTGTCCTGCCGCAGACTGACTCTGACCAGTCGTCTCTGTCCTACCGCAGACTGACCCTGACCAGTCGTCTCTGTCCTGCCGCAGACTGACGCTGCTGCTCGTGCCGACGATGCGGTGGCGCTGGCGCTCCCCGGCCGCGCTGCTGCTGCTCGCCTGCTGGCTGGCTGTGGCCTCGCGGGCCGACCTCGGCAGCCTCAACAGCAGGCTGGAGAACCTGCTGAAGAAGCAGCGACAGATCGAGGACGCCGTCAGCCGGGGCCGCACGGTCGGACGCGGCCTTAACTTTTTCGATGTGGCGCGCACCATAGCAGGTCAGTGATAGCCGCCGGCCGCCTCAGCAGATTGCTCAGGAGGGACTCACTGGGAGTGCGCGTGTCACCCATCGGGCTAGGTCGATGTATTGAAGTGCGGGCAATATTACTTTTTAAAGACCCGTAGCCGCTAGAGCCATGCCTTTCCTGAAATGTGTGCTTTCCATCGCCTCCCTCCTTGACCATCACTCCTATTATATATATATATATATATATATATATATATATATATATATATATATATAACATCGTAAAACCTATAATATGAAAGATAAGACATAACATGAAATAATCATACAACTTGCATATGCATACTATGTAATACTTATCAGCATGTTCTACCCATCCACATATTACGTACACGGCCTAGTAAACTTAGCAACAGGATCCGTCACCTTGTGTTCATTTTGCGGCACAACCGTGGCGTCATTATTTTTGAACAAAGCATAGAATAGCCATTTTGAAGAGCTTTGCGCACGTTTTTTTGTGTTTTAAATGTTTTTATTGAGCTCGTTATATCAAATACATGTTTGCGTATTCCTGTCACATATCACTAATCCTACAGCAATCAAACCATTTGGCGGCCATGCCGAACCCAAACTATTGCGCACTGCACCTCGAAAAAAAAACAGTCACACTCACTGCTAACCCAATGGCTTGTCTTTGCTGAAGTCTATAACAGAATGGATCCTGATACGACTTTGCTGAGTATCATACTTTAAAATGTCGTCCTGAGGCTGACAATATGAGGTGGTTCGTAATTAACTTCATGCATTCCACTTTCGCGCAGTGCGCAACTCCGCTCTGCTGCGATCACGCTGCTCGCTTGCCACAGGACACGTTCGGTTGGTCTGTTTAGGTCATGGAAGGCATTTTTGGCTCAGTTATTCAGAGTTCCTCGAAAGGATTGTGTTTTATTCCTTTTTTGTTAGTTTTACTTAGTATTGCTTGGCGGCTAAATCAACGGGTGTGGGCGATCAAATGCGACGCATACACGCCTATTTAAATCGAAGCTACATTGTCTCGATCCTACAATATGTTTTATTTTGCCGCTGCTGCTGTCTGATGTTTGTTTGATACTTTGATACTGATATTCTTGACATATTATTGAATATTTCCCGCGTTTTTCCAACAATGGAAGGACAGCTGTTGTCGCGAAGGCAGCACCCTCCGTAGCTGCCCACGCTTGGTTGTTTGGAATAGAGCCATTTCGACCAGAAATGAATCACTTAAAGACTATGGGAGGAATGAAAATGGTTAGCAGTGGGGCAGGCTTGCATGCGCCTGGGGTCAACCGCCGAGCTTTAACCGGCGCATGTGCGCCGGGTACCCGGTCGGGGTCCCCCTTCCCACGGGACCTCTCAGCCCACTCATGGCTGACGCGTGGAGTCTGCCTCGGACAAGCGGGTGTCGCGAGGATGCAGGATGAAGCAAGACAGAGGACAAGAGGGTCGGATGCCGACGCCCTGGCCATACCGCCGCTCTGGCTCGGGACGGGCGCGCTAGGCCTGGTTTCAAGCCTTGCGAAACCTGCCCAACGGACCGGACAAGCGCCGCCGGCACGGCTTACCGCCCGGCCGGCCGAGCATTTCAAGGCAGGTCGGTGTTTGGCGTGGGCGGCGCAACGGGCCGGCGAGCGCGTGCGGCCGGGTGCGGCCGTCGCGGTCTGCGTGACAGGGAAGTGCCGTTTCACGGCCACCTCCACACACACAATCAGTCAGCGTCTATTCTCTCCGCGCGCGCGGCGCTGTCCCGGCGCGGTCCGGTCGGGCCGACGCTGCTGGGCTGGTGTTCACAGTGCACACGCGCACTGTGACTTGAAGCCTGTCGCGGCTAATGAGCCTGCGCGGTGACAAAAGGCGCACACTCGTCGAGATAGAGAGAGGGAGAGCTGGCCGCAGTGAGCCGGTGCGAGCTGCGTACGCGTATATTTAGAGCGCACCAGACGATAAATGGCTCGCTTTCGCGGCGTGATTTTGTTAGGCGGATGCGCCGCAGCTTTTGTCGCTAGTAACCACGCAATTATTGCGGTCATGAGCTGCTAGGACGGTTTTAGCTTTGCAATCTGCCGCTGGTGGCGTCGGCTGGTGGTAGCAAGCGCTGAGCTGCAAGCAGTGCACTCTGCCGAGACCTGCGACAGCCTCCCTCGAGAAGACGGCGTGCAGCACTCAACAATGGGTCAACGCCTCGCACAGAAGGGAAGCGGAACCAAGCCGCCACCCGGCGGGGAACAGCACGCGTGTGACACGGATGTGCTCCGCCACCCACCCGACGTTTCCGCTGCGGCTTCAGCTGCAGGCCGGCCGCTCATCGCATCAGATCACGTCCGAATTCGCCGGCGGTGGGGCTCGCCGAGTTTTCACCCCATTTCCTGTCGGCTTCGTTGGGCTGCGCTCACAAGCGGGACAGCCGGGGCCATTGTGTGGTGCATCTGCCACTGCCTCCTCCAAGGGCCCCTCAAGCTGATGCCCCCATTGTCACAATATCCAGTGCGTGGCAGTTGGAATCCGGGAATTTTTTCTCACTTTCCACTTTTGTTCGCATGGTCTAGCTTTAGGCAAAGAAAGGAAGGATTTACAACTTTTCAGTTGCATTTATAAAAGAAGTGCAGCATGTAAGTCTTATTTGTAGTAGACGAGCTGTCCTGCTGAATTCAGCTGCGGTTGAATTGCGATTCTGCGTGCAAATAATCGCGAAACACTCGTCTTTTTGGCGGGACACAACGCCCTACAGCAGCAGTAAGGGTGACGGGGATTGCAGGCTAGACTGTCTGCCGACGTAGCATTGCAGTGATGGAGCGTGGCGTCGCGTGGGAGCCCGATCGGCGGTCAGTGACATGTCTCGCTATAAGGAGCATCCGTCCATTTATTCGGTGTGCCTGGTGATTGGCCCGTCTCTCCCCCTGAATGAAGCCCGTTCAAACTGCACTTCTCCCCTGCACACCTACCCCTGCATATCCCTGTATCGTATGCATTTTTTAGTTATCTAAACATGACGCATATTGTAAATCCTTTCCTGAAATAGGGTGTTTGAGACTTTTGTACCACGTTTTAACGTTTTGTCATTTAGCGTATTGCGAATATTAGACAGCAGTGAACACACACGATGAAAATGTGGAAAAATGGGAAGTATTGCTTCCATACTGGTAACCAAGGAGTCCAATGTGATTGCGTCCGTCGGAGCATCTAATTCAGATAGATGTTCTGAACTGTTCAGAAGCATCTAGAGACAACTGATTTTGCCGACCATATTAAGCGCGTGTGACCGAACGGCAGGTGACAATTACAAACAGGTGACATACTCTGAAACGTTGGCGTCGTGCTCTTTCATGGCTGCATTGCTCACGCCGCTGAAAACTGCCTGAATTTTTCGCCACATTATACCCTTCCAAAACACTAACTGTCCGCTTGTACCGCCACTTAAATTTGCTAACACAGCGCTCGTACGATGCGCCCCTTCCCCTCCCCGCTAATGCAGCGGAGTAGGTAGATATTACAGACTGACGATACACCTGACAGCCGCTCGTGCGTTGCGCCCCCTCCCCCTCCACGCTCATGCAGCGGGGTAGATATTGCAGACTGACGGTACACCTGACGCAGCCGCTCGTGCGATGCGCCCCCTCCCCTCCCCGCTCATGCAGCGGAGTAGGTTACTGCAGACTGACGGTACGCATGACGCCACGTGGCCTGGCGCGGAGCCGGCCGGGCGCTGCACACTGCGTGCAACACTGCCGTGTGACCCCAGCGGTGAGCTGACGGCCGGCCGGGCGGCACGGCGCGCGTCCGTATCTATGTAACGGGAGCGCGGCGCGGTCCGCTGTGACGACGGCAACCGAGCGTTACGTGACGCGTGGGCATAGGCAGACCGCCGCCGACGACGGGACGGCGCGCCGAGGCTAGTCCGCACGTGGTCCCGCGTCACCCGGGGTCTGGTCGTGGTCCCGCATCACCCGGGTCTGATTGTGGTCCCGCATCACCCGGGGTCCGCACGTGGTCCCGCATCACCCGGGGTCTGATCGTGGTCCCGCAATCACCCGGGGTCTGGTCGTGGTCCCGCATCACCCGGGTCTGGTCGTGGTCCCGCATCACCCGGGGTCTGATCGTGGTCCCCGCATCACCCGGGGTCTGATCGTGGTCCCGCATCACCCGGGGTCTGGTCGTGGTCCCGCATCACCCGGGGTCCGCACGTGGTCCGCGTCGCCCGGGATCTGGTCGTGGTCCCGCATCACCCGAGGTCCGCACGCGGTCCCGCGTCACCCGGGGTCTGATCGCGGTCCCGAATCGTCCGACGTCCAGCTATGGTTCCACTTGCTGGTCATGGTCTCATACTACCGAAGCTCTGCCATGGTCCGACATCACCTAGAGTCCGGGCATGGTCTCCCGCCACCCGAACCGCTGCGGGTGCTGGTCATGACATTTAGCTGGTCACGCGTCACGCGCAGATTCTTTGCAGCTGAACTGGTCTCAAATTATCAGAAACGTCGTATCAACTCAGCTGTCTGATATTGCCGAGAGCTCAGCTGTTTTCTCATTGACCGCAGTATGAAGCCGGATGGCGAACCTCAGCATGGTGTCGTCGTTCTTGTGCTAGGAAATATCCGGCAAAGCAAGCGAACGAAATGGGCCATGCTGTATGCCATAACTTCCTTTTAGCCATTGGTTGTCAGCAGATCGTCCCAGATGCGGCTGGGCAATCCCAGGTTGTATATTGGCATGGTCAGGGGACAAGTTGTCGATCAGATCATCGGCAGAATAAAATGATGCTCGCAGGAGGCACACAAATTGAATCAAAACCGTTGTCAGAACAGTCGGTAAAGTAGTTAAAAGCGTTTCAAATGTTACAGTAGATTGTGTTGCTTCATGCCTTGTTCTCGAGAGTTTCGAGCGGAGACATGTATGTATCAAGGTGTTCCTAACTCAGGCAAGTCCCCGGAGCGTAGAATGTCATTAAAGTGATGACGCATTCATTAAAAAACATAGTGTGAACATGTTTCAGAAAGGAAAATGATCGTGTCATTTTTCCTAAACGTTTCCATAAAGGCGTTTCACACAGGAAGTGGTCAGGCGTTTTCTTCTCGTAAAAACTCATATAGCTATATGAACCATCAAAACCAAAACCGAGGCCGAAATAAAAAAGCTGATACCAAGACCGAAACTGAGCGGAAAAATATAAATGCTGTCGACCATGCATCCTGGGCCCGCCACCCACCTACTAACGGCTCGACACGAGCTTATGCTGACCATCGAACGAACGGCTACGGTTCTACTGAGTCTTAAAATCGGTTGGTTCAACAGTTAGCTGATTCTACGGATCTGAAAGCCGGTAGTGCTCTGAGTTCGATGACCGACACGTCACGCGTCCGATGCACGTCAGTCCAGTGTACTTCACGTCCGATGCACGTCAGTCCTGTGTACTTCGCGTCTTGTTGTTCACCAACGGGCCTCTGTCAGTGTGCATGCGCATGCATACCACACCCTCACCTTCCGGCATTGTCCCGCTCGCTGTCATCCTGTCATGTATACCACACCCTCATCCTCCGGCAGTGTCCGGCTAGCTGTCACCCTGTCTTGCACGTCATCAGTAGCGACGCCTTCTAGCCTCTGTCACTCTGTCGCTAGCCGCCACGCCGGCAGGGCCCAACTACACCCAGCTGATGCTGGAGACGATAGAGGACGTCAACACGCTGGACGAGCTGCAACTCATGCGGCTCATCAAGCTAAACCAGGTGCTGACGCCGCCACGTGACACGCTCATCTACCAGCCCGAGCACGCGTGGAACTCTGCCGAGCCACACGACACCTACAGCCCGCAGCACCTGCGCGGCATCTTCGACTTCCTCACGCCGGCGCCGCTCGGTGAGTAACTCCTGCACTCTGCACTCTGCACTCTGCACTCTGCTGTCCTTCGTCGGCCCGTCTGGCGACTCTCGGCTCTCTGACAAGGCCTGCTCGGTGAGCTGCCGCATGCTGTGCTCATACGGGTTTCTTCAACAGCTGTGTGGCTCAAATTTGGTCATTGTATTTTTATACCTGCTGCAAAGTTTAGGTGCTGAGTATTTATGTTCTTGTACTTTCTGTATCTACCTCTTTTTACATAGCTGTTTTTCACGTCAATCTTGTTGATATTCTGCATTTGACCCGTTGAGAGAACACTTCGAATATCCTAAAACTGCTTTACTGCATCGTGACAGTGCTCTTATGGATGTCTTGACTACATACCTGAACAATCCTTCCGTCTCCCACTGAATTTAGTCCGCTCGTCCTCATATTGTGCAATGCTCTAACCCCGTTTCCTGGCACGCTGACGGGAACCCAGTGACGATAGCTCACACGGGATCCGGCCGATCACTCACGGTAACCGTTAGTTCTGGCTTGGTTGCGCTGGCCCGGCGGCTGTAATCTGCTGACAGTGTGCTCACCTTGTCCGTCACACATCAGGAACAGCGGGGACACAGTGCTGTCGCAAACCGCCTGCCCGGTTGATTACGAGCCGGTGAAGTGTAGCTGGTCCGCCGACCATAGCGTGGTCGTAATGCTCACCATAGGGAAGTAGCAACCCGCTCACTCCGGAACCGGCGTCACAACAGGACAATTATCAGCAGAAAAATACCTCTCCGGCCCGTTGTCGACAATGCTAGAGGACAACAATGCCATACACAATGTGTCCCTGACTGCTGCGGCGGAGCCGTCGCTACAGCGCCGTAGTCGGCGCATCCTGCGGCAATGGCGTGGGCCACGCGGACATGCCGGCACGCGCGCCACGCAGAACAAACGCCACGCGCTGGCTGACCAGAGCGCCGGTCTGGCGTGCTGCCGCCTGGAGGTCAGGGGTCAGCCATCCGTCCGGCGGTTGCCACATGCCCGGAGGCGTCGGGGTCACGGCCGGCCAGGAGGTGGCCGCCGCCGTCCGCGTGGCACGCTTTCGGCGGCGCTGGACCGTGCAGTGGCCATATCAGCGCCCCTGTCGGGCAGCCGTTGCCGATTTGCACATGAAAGAGGTCGCTGGAGCGGCGAGGGGGTCCACGCGACATGCGTGCACGCTCCCGGCAGAGGGACAAAGTGTGTTTTGGTGCGGCCACGCGGAGGGGAGGCCAGTGAACGGCGAGGGGTCCGTGCTTCGGACGCCCACTGGCCTCGACCCACAACATGCACAATGGCCGAGGCCGTGGCCGTATCTTCAGCTTCCAAAACAGGACTGCTGTTCTACGAGCGGTGCCGAGTAAGCTCAACGGTGATGCTGGCTACATGGATACGAGCCCCGAACGGCCTCGCTTTGCTGAAAGAGTTGATACAAAAGTCAATGTCACGCACCAAAGCGAGCTTCCTTAGTTCTACCATCATCAGGTGAACGTTTCAGGAGAATAGCGCGGAATGAAAGATGTGGCTGGGCTTCGTAAACGCGGGTATTTTGTCGGCTTCCAAGGTGGGTAGAAGAGCACCGGGCTGTGAAGAGCAGCACTTGATTTGACAATGGGATGAACCTCTGCGATACATCCTCGGAACAGGGGCGTCTAGAACATGTTCGAATTTAAAATATCTGATATTCACCACAGGCCTCATGCCATTTTAAACGTCAAACGAGGACCCTGATTGGAGCTGAGAATTTGTGTAGTTTGCGTGTATTGTGGCAGCTATTGAAATCATGTTATGTTCCGGAAGTCCTATTTTCTGATACCTTCTCAAATTCATTTCAGGGACAAAGCTCTATCAACGATGTCATACGCATTTGAATCAGCAGCTGATTGGCCAGTCGAGATCACATCGGGTCAAGGACAAATATCGTTCTTGTTGGTCATTGCAGGGAATCCGTAGTCTGTCACACATATTTTGAAGCTCTTACTACGTGAACAGCTGCGAAATAGCATGATTTACGAAATTGCCTTCGTTTTGCAATCCACCTGGACGCTTACACTGCGATAATTTGCAATATGCTGACTTCAGCAGTAGTCCATACGGGAAGCCCGGAAGATCCAAGCTTGAGAGACCAACGAAGACCGACGTAGCTTGACGTTGAGGAAGACCGGAAGACCAACGTAGCTTGACAGGAAACCATGCGCTTGGACATCAATCTCTGGTCCCATCAAATTTCTGACAGCGTCCCAATTGTTACCAATTGCCGGCGCTAATCTCGAGTCATGCTGCTTCCGAAATTCATGCAAGGAATCTGGACAGAGAGTTCGATAAGAGCTGTTTCTATTTCGTGTTAACCGGGACGAATGAAAGGCTAAGCACATTACCTCCAATGGAAGCTTGCAAATGGTTGATTTCTCAGCCTTCTTCGGAGTTCAGGAGTACATCTTCTGTTACGAGATGTCAGGCCTGTTTTCTGCCTTCTGTAAGCATTCTTGCATGTCTAGCTTCGTTGCGTAAGCACAACTTCTTCGTTGCGAGAGAAAACAAAACCAGGGCAGCGCATAACTAGACCATGCGCAGCATGCGACATTCAAAGCACCCGATTTGTTGGCTGACGCGAGTGAGTCGTGAAAACTTGTCGCTGGCAGGCGGAGCCGTGCTGTTCGCTAGTCATTTGAGCAACCCTGAATATCAGCGCTATGGGGAAATTTCGTCTGAAACGTAACCGGTGTAAGGCTTTTGTTAGGTGTGGTTGTCGGTCCAAGCTAGTCGAATTACGCCACGTTTGCGACCTATTCGGGGTCAAAAGCGTGCTGTACCTCAAAGTCCCGGTTGCGCCTTATCACGCCGCGTTACGTCACAGGCGAATAAAATGGTGTGACGCAAGCCCCAGGCAGCACGACTCCGGTGACAAGCATATCGTTGGGTTCCTAGGCAGCTGCACCGGCTGCTGTGTGAGCCTCGTGGGGCTGAGCAGTGGCTTGCGGCTGTTGAAAGTATGGGAGACGTTAAGATGGTGGGAAGGGAAGAGAGGAGAGCCGTTGATAATGCGTGATTGGGATGAGAGCGGGAAGAGCAGGTAGTGCCAATAAGCTAGCCGTGCGTGCTCTTGTCCGAGATCGCGCGTTTCTGGCATTCGTATTACGTTCTAAGCGCGCGCGCGTAGATATAACACACTGTAAGTCAGCGCGTGGATGTAATGCACCTGCGTCGAGCGCTACATGACACGCCATAGGTCTTTTTCCATAGCGCATACATTGCACGACTTGTCAGCACTTGGGGCTTGTGATCTTCCAGTCCCATGCATATGCAAACCTAGCCCCATCGCCTCCCTGAGAGAGCGCACTGAACAGCCATGGCGTCCGACTCGCCCCTAAACACTTGAAAATAAGAGCTCCGTGAGAATGGGTGGCTGATGAGGTCTTTTGGCCCTCAAGGCGAAAGTGGCTTACTTATGTGTTTGAGTAGAAATAGGCCTATGCATATTTCCATCGTTCGTCGTCATTGTTATCAAAACCAATGAAACTCATCTAGATGCGCGTCAATGTAAATGTGCACTGCTCACTGAAATGATGCATGCTTGCGGGACTATGGTTTAATGATGATTCGCGCAAGACTCTGCTTCCGCGATTCTTTAATAGCGTGAAGGCACGGCTGCATGTGAACATGGCGCTTTCTACTCGTCCCCCAGCCGCCTTTCGCTCAACCCCCCGTTCTCAGCCCGCGGCCGTTTTCTTCTCCACTTTGAGAAGTCATCCCTGCCGCGTGGGGGCCGCGGCTCCGACGTTCAACGCCGCTATTTCCCAAGCGGCGCTGTGATTTGCGTAAGCCGGCTGGCAGCGGCGCGGCGGCGCGGGCCGCGTGAGCGCGCCCGGCCAGTGAAAGTGCTGCCCTCTGAGCTGGAACGACAGCGGTGCGCGCCGCCGCCAGTCGCCTCAGTCTGCGCCGCGTGCGCCGACCGTCACGTGGTTTGTCCGCTGTGCCGCCGCGCCGCCGGGCATGCGCCTGACCTGCCAGCGAGGCCACCGGACCACCACTGTCAGCCATGCCGACGGCCGGGCCGCGCCGCTGGCTGCTGCTGCTGTTCGTCTGCGCCGCCGTCTGTCGCGCGCGCCGCGACTTTGACGACTTCTCGGCCGAGCGCGACGGGTTCGAGCGCGACGAGTTCGAGCGCGACGAGTTTCGAGCGCGAGTTCGACGACGCGGACGGCCCGCACGGGCGCGCCATCCGGCCCGGCTACGGCCGGCCGTACCGGCTGCCGCTGCAGCAGGACCAGTACGACCCGTTCCGGGAGCACGGCGACCGGTACCGGCCGCGACCGAGCGCTGGGTACGGGCCCGAGCTACCGCCGCAGCACGGCCCCGCTACGTACGCCGAGGTCGTGTACCGGCCGGGCCGGCCGGCGCGGCCGCAGCGGTACCACCGGCCCGCCAGCAACCACTTCATCTTCGACGACCACCGCGACGAGCAGGACGCCTCGCGCAACACCGTCCGGCAGCCGGGTAGGTGGCGCTGCGGGCGCCCGGCCGCCGGGCAGGCGGACCGTTGGGCGCGGCCGGCCGTCGGGCGCGACCACGGCGCTGCGCCCGGCCAGCCGAAGCCGTGACGGGCGCAGCGCGCCAGCGCCGCGCCCAGCGCCAGCGCCGCTCCACTAACTCGGTGCCGGGGCTGGTGTCGGTGCCTTCCCTGCAGCCCGGCAGCTGAGCTACGTCCTGCGCTCCGACCGTGCGCCGTGCCCCAGTTGTTCAGAGACTTGGTTTTGACAAAACTGACATCGAAGGCGATTGGTCAAGCCTTAATGCAAATTTATTTGCTAAAACGTTTGGACATGGAAGCATTTACTGAGTCATTTTTACTCCACTGTATGCGTACAAACGTAGTGCTGTAACGATCTTGGTAGCTTCCCTATCGTGGCCTTTTGGAGATGCTCATAGTAAAGTCCTCTGTTTAAGATTGGCTCGCATCCTGTGACACTTAATATCATTGGTTAAAACACAGCAACTTCTTCTGTCTGTGAAGAGCTTCCAAAAGCACGAACAGATCCGAACAAACAAGCCTAAGACGCGCATGTAAACATAATCCCACTGCTGTGTCATTAAAAGGTGGCCGGTGTTACTAGTTGGGGACGGTAAACGCTTAACACCCAAATACTCCGCCATAACCCGCAGCCAGTGAGCTGGCGCGGGTGGTTTAAGGCACGGCTACATAGCACACGCCGTCGGTAGATTGGTAGCCGAGCATGCGGCCCGCGCTGAGCCAGCTGGACGTGCCGGTCCTCAGTTCTCCCTGCCTCGCCCGACCGCCATCCCCTGAACGACGAGACCGCTGCCTGCCCTCCAGGTGCTGACAGAGGTCCTCTGGAGACTGACAGAGGTCTTCAGGGTGCTGACGGGGCTGCCAGAGGCCCTCTGGGTGTTGATGGGGTTAAAAGAGGCCCCGCGGGGTGCTGACGGGGTTGACAGAGGTCCCGCGGGGTGCTGGCGGGGTTGACAGAGGCCCCGCGGGGCGCTGACGGGGTTGACAGAGGCCCCGCGGAGTGCTGAAGAAGTTGACAGAGGCCTCACGGGGGTGCTGACGAAGTTGACAGAGGCCCGCGGGGTGCTGACGAAGTTGACAGAGGCCCCGCGGGGTGCTGACGAAGTTGATGGAGGCCTCGCGGGGTGCTGATGGGGTTGACAGAGGCCCCGCAGGGCGCTGGCGGTCCGCTCCGGTCCGCTCCGTCTCGTCACAGCCATTGGCAAGCCTGATCGCGTGACGGCCGCCCTTTCACACGAGCCGTGACGTAAGCCGGTGCGACTCGGCTCACGCTGCCGAGCCTGGCTCCGTGGGGCAACGCCGGCCGTGAGGTAACGGCTTCACACCGCTCGCCCTCAGGAAGTAGCGATGTGCCGATATCCGTCGGGAAGTGGGTACAAACTGGTCTTCGTCAGGCGCTGGGCACATGCCGCTGTCCGTCAGGAAAATAAGCTACAATAGTCTCTGCGAGACATGATTATTCTGGTCTTCGCGGGGAAGCAATATATTACTCTCCGTGAAGAAACGGATTCACTGTAGTTTTGTTCTCTTGTGAGAAGATAGGCTTACCCCGGTCCCATGAAGAAAGACGTTGACACTGGTCCCAGTAAGCTAGCGGGTCCACACCGGTCTCAGCGAAGCCATGGGTTTACACGGGTCTCCGTGAGTAAATGGCGGCATACTGGTCCCCGCATGGGAGCTGGTTCACACTAGTCCCCGTGGGAAGATGGGGTAATGCTACACTCCATTGGGGAAACGGGTTCACACGGTCTTGCTAGTGAATAGAGCTTTAGTTGTGTGCGATAGGAAGCTAGCTATCATAAGCCTTCCTAGGGAGATGCGATTGCATTAATTTCTGTTACGTGTTTATGGTCATCTCTTGTGAGAAAACTGATGTGCTGTGGTCTCCGTGAAAAAATGTATTTTATGGTGGTCTCCGTGTCGCAACTGGTATCTGTTACGCAGTGCGCTTACGCCCATTTCTGTGAAGCAAACAAGGGTATATTTTGGTCTCCAAGCGAAGGTTGGCTGTACTGATCTCGTGACAAGAGCCAACAACAATATGGCGATTGTGCGTCCCTGTATTTTGTTGTTAGCATAATATGGCGAGTGTATGACAAACATCAGGGTCCCAGAAAACAGGTAATTGGCAATGTCATGTGGCGGTTAAAAGTACTACGAAATGACGTAACACGTCAAAACATTGCGCGCAAAAATTGCCCGTTAATCTCAAATTGGTTGTTTGGGTTAGATGGGGTCAAAGGATTCCATCACAAGCTACACACTTAGAGAAGACCTTGATCCAAAAACACTCTCTGTGGAACATTATGCCCGATGCGTTAAAAACCATCCGTATCCACAAAAACCCAAAGCACAACATTCACAACCTGGACATTCACGGCGTTGAAATGTGATCCGCATGTATAGGTAGGTTGTCTTAGCGACCGCGGTTGTTAGCTACCTGGCTTCAGTGTGACTCGGAACAAGTGACGTCACGCAGGGCCTCTGCTGCAGCAACACGTACATACCAATTAAGTCATTTAGACGTACCATACGTTTAAACAATGGCGGGCGATAGCGAGATGCCACTCTCCCTTCTCTTTCTTCCCTTCCGCGTTGTCCCTTGCTTAACGACGACCACACAATCGCCCGCAAAGAACTATCGCCCATTCTTTCCTGGACGCTTGACGAAACTACCTTCCCAGCACCCCCCCCCCCCCCCCCCTCCCTCCCCTGCTAACAAGCCTTCCCCGCCGCCGGGGCGTGGCCGGCGTGGCTGACTGGGCCGCGGCGCCCCGCCTGTTTCAGTGATCCCGCGCAAGTGCAGTTACAGGGGCAGCGAGTACGACTGCGCCGTCAGCGTCAGCTGCGTGTTCCAAGGCAGGCGCGCCATGGACCTCTGCGACGGCGGCATGGTCTGGAGCTGCTGCGTGCCGCGCGAAATGGCCGACAAGGACTACGCGGCTGAGGCCACCGTCACCGGCGCCGGTCAGTGGCCGGGCCTGGGGGTCGGGGGAGTGGAGGGACAATGCAGCCCACTGTCACCGACTCCGGTCAGGGATGGGGAGGTCGGAGGTACAGTGCAGCCCACCGCCACCGACTCCGGTCAGTGGACGGGCTCAGGGATGGGGAGGTCGGAGGGATGGAGCTGCCCAACGTCACCGGCGCCGGGTTCGGGTCGATGACGACTTGTCCAAGATAGCTGCTGCTACCCTGTTGGTCTCTTCCCGCTGCCGTGACCGGGCTCCGTGTCTGTGGGCAAGGCCACTGGCGCACGGGCTGCGCCAAACTCCAGTCCGTGCAGCCCGTTCCGCGGCTGTCTTCTTGGACAGCCGCGCAACGGGCGGAGCTTGTGATCCTGGTCCACCCACAGGAATAGAAGCTACCAAACATAAAGTTGTGATGGCTGTCAGGGGTGCAGCCTGGATTGGTTAAGGAAATGAGGGGAGGTGGGAGGCAGGGTTGGAGCTCAGTAAAAACGCATCACGCTGATTTCTAAGCTTCTGTCAGGAGCCATCTACGACCAAAGATGAGAATGCCACTCTATGGGGGGGGGGGGACTCTTCTCCTCTATGGATGCCCCAGCAACACGTGTATTCATGCTAAACCACTTTCACGGACTGTCGGTTTTTTGAGCCACGATGTCAAGCCAAACCCCGATGACGTTGGTTGACATAGCCGCATACACAACGTAGAGAACGAAATGTATTCCAAAACGCGGCTGTCAGTTCAGTGTCGGCATCAATGACCGTCGTTTTCTGTCAGCAACGCCGCCGCATTTCAAAGCGCAGTCCATGAGCGGCCTCGAACAAAGCACGCTGTTGCAAGAGCCCCGGTTACGCGGGCGCAAGCTCTTCCTCAATCGGTCCGGGCGCGCCGCTGGTGCGGCCAACTGGAGCCACCGTCACGGCGCGCGCGGGCTGGCGCCGCCCGTACGAACTTGGCGCGCTGTCGATTGTGTTCGGCACGCGGCGTGATCAGGCACAATGCGGCGTCCGTGGCGCTCTTGTGACAGCGCGCCGAGTGCGCCGCGTCACATGCGGCCGGTACGGGACCGACCGTTGGCCAATCACTGCCACGGGCCGCGGCGCGCGCCCGTGGCAGTGATGCTGGGATGCTGCCAGGCCGGTCACGCGGCATGTTGGTACGCTGATTGGGGGCTGGATTGAACTGGGAATCAGAGCGGGATGGCCGGTCCGAGTAAGCCATCCGTTGATGGGAGATATCGTATGTGAAGATGACATTTACTTCGAGAGTAGTCTGCATCTTGCCACATACAGTGTGTGCAGCCATGCACCAGTGCGTAATGTTCATATGATTTGATAATAGCGCTTCACAAATCGGGATCTGGTATCCACATGTGCTACACGGCGTGGGCTTAAAAAAGTGAAACGCACAGCAGATATGTTAGAATTACTGTGGAAGACATAATCCGTCAGGACATTACACATGCGAAAATGCGCATTTCAGTAACATCCTGGTCACATGATGAGCGTTTTGATGCGCGCTGGCCACCAAACTGTGTTGCATATCAACACACGACATTGTGCTGCACATCAACATTCTTGTTTCTCTTTACCCACCTATATACACTGCATGCTGTATCCTTGAGCTTGAATTGAGCTTCCACGCCTTTGGCTTTATGGATGATTATAGACAGTATGTGGCTAGATGTTTCTGACTCATATCACCATGATCTTATCTTCCACTGTTCTCCTTTTTGCAGGTGCCATCTTCTCGAACACATCTGTTGCCCTAAACTCGCCATCAAGCCCGACAGTCTCTCCCCTCCAACACGGCCCCCTGGCCTCCAGCCCAGACCTGACGCCCCCACACTCAGACCCGACTGCGACAGACTCGGACCTGGTTGGGGCGGGCTCAGACCTCTCGGCGGCCAGCTCGGTGCTGAGCAGCCAGGTCACGACTATGCGCTCGCCGCTGCGGCCCGGCGGCAGCTTCGGGCGGCCGACACGGCCGCCGCGGCCCGCCCGGCCGTTCCGCACGCCCCGTCCGCCGCCCGTGCCCATCATCCCGATCCTGGACCAGCGGCCGCCCGGCCCGCTCTCCCACAATCACGTGACCGGCCACGGCGGCGACGTGCCCAGCTACGGCCCCGTGTTCGACACGCGGCCGTATGTCATTATTCAGGAGCTGTACCCGGGGCAGCGGCCGGCGGGGTCAGCGGGGGGTTCCCCACCGGTCCCTGCCCTCGCCCCCGACTCGGACAGTAACGCTATTGACGGGCCGGTCCGGCCGGCCGGCCACCGCCCGCCTCGTCCCCATCCGGGCTCCGGCCCCAGACCGTCCGAAGCCAGTAAGAGCGCCTGTCGCCTGACGACGTCGCGCCGCCTGTCGTCCCACCGCCGCACGAGACCGCATGCCGGAGTAGCCTAGAGGGCCGCACGTGGCACGCCCGCCCCACGGCCGGCGCCGCCGCCGCCGCGGCCGGCCACGCCTCCCGCCACACAGCGACCCCGCTTCTTACACCGCCACGGTCACTCCAGGGCGACACTCATCACTCGTGTATGTGTGTGTGTGTGAGCTGGTGTCGTGCTCATGGCCCCGTTGGCCGACCCGAGAGCGTGTCTTGTTCCGCACCCGGTTGTACATACAGCGCACACTGTCGTGTTGTACTGAGCGGCGTCGTGGCTTACCGTACCTTATCGACCGCACCTGGATGTGTCGTATCTTACTGTCCCGTCCTGTGTTGTGCCATGCCCTGACGTGCCTCACAATATGGTACCCGCATCCTAAAACTCGCGTCTAATCCTATTATAATGCACCTAATCCTGTTCTGCCGTACCTGATCCCGTCATGCCGCACCTTGCCGAGCCGTACCGTACGGCGTCGTGCTCACCAGACACTGTCTCGTTGCAGAGTGTGGTCAGGTGTACAGCCCCACCAATCGCATTGTCGGTGGACACGACTCGTCGTTCGGCTCTCACCCTTGGCAGGTGGGTGGGGCGCCTCGGCGGGGGCTGGGCCCGGTCTTCCAGAGCCGGTGCACCGCCAGCATGCTGCTGACAGGCAGAGACCGGCGCAAGTGTGACGTGCTGGCGAACAGTTGATGATCGGCTAACAGCCGGGTTTCTAGCGACCAGATGTGATCGGCTCGCTACGGCCTCACTGGCGACCTCTGGCGGACGTTACAACACGAGTGACTCTCCCGCTCTTCTAGTAGATGGCAGCACTGACGCATGCAGGACTACCCGTGACTCAGTGCTAGGCGTGCGTACCAATCGGATGAATGGGATGTGGTAACGTTCAGACGTATGTAGGTAACGCTGATGTATCAGCAGCTGCCACAGCTGCTGATACATCAGCACTCGGTATGCCGGCACTCGATATATGATGATAACGGAGCCTACACAATCGATCTGCACTGCAATGCGCGGTCTTTGGTCAAGTACCTGTGTTGCATAATCGAGTTTCGTAATGCGTATCCATCGGTGCGTCTTATTTGAGCCATTGAGTGCCATTGGCTCATGCTGATCGACAGAACACATTATCAGGAACACTTCACTTACTGAGTTTCTCCCCAGTGCCACATGGCTGCGTTTAATGTTTTTCCACACCCTTTTTATTCCGTTCGGGTGCTGGAGCAAAACGTTTTATAGCAACGGTATGGAATGAACACGCAAGTGAAAAGCTCAGAATGTCTCCACCTGAATATTGCATATGCTTCAAACATGGCAACTTCGTGAAGTAGATACGGCACACGCCGGACCTCGCGCATGTGGGCTGCCGGGGGCTGCCGCTGGAGCCCGATGTGTAGCCAGTCGGCATCGACCTGATCTGTATCTGCGTGCAGGCTGCCCTGATCAAGGAGGGCTTCTTCTCCAAGCGTATCGCGTGCGGCGGCGCGCTGGTCAACAAACGCTGGGTGGTGACGGCGGCCCACTGCGTCTACCGGTGCGTCCGCGTCTCACCGGTCACGGCCAACCGCTCCTACCCCGCTCGTCCACGCGTCACCAGTCTCGACCAACCGCTCCTACCCTGATCGACGCAGTGTCCTGCTCACATCACATCTGACCCCGTCCGAATGTTTTGGTGGCTCCCATCTGATTGTCTGCCACCGACTGAAGCGCTGGACCCGTCTTTTCAGACAGAAAGTCGCGTATTCCTGCATCACGTAACTTACTGCACACGGTTTAAGGCACGTCGACGATCCGGTAGTATTGATAATAGATATGGACTTAGCTTCAGACGGCTTAAGTAAGAGTGGCTTGGTGCAATAGCAATAGCTCGAGGAAAAGTGATTCAGCTTCCCAGCTCAATTTCCGTCCATCTTGATATTTACGACCTATGTGCGCCCGGTCCGTAACGACCTTTGTTTTCTATTGTGCGCAACAGAGCGGATCTGTCCAGCATGAAGATACGACTGGGAGAGTACAACGTCCGCGAGTATTCAGAGCGCTACCCTCACGAAGACTTCACCCTGGAACGGAAAGTGGTGAGGCAACAGCACTGCTCGTGTTTGTACTAACGCTACGGCCAGTTGTATGTTGAGAAACATACTGCAAACGTACAGACCTGAAAGGCTCGAACCCACGGCACTTAGCTGAGGCCTCTTGGCCATCACCGACCTCGCTGCCCGCAGATCCACCCGAAGTACAACCCGTCCGACTTCGAGAACGACGTGTCGCTGGTGAAGCTGAGCAAGGACGTCGTGTTCAAGGAGCACATCATCCCAGTGTGCCTGCCAAACCTGGACGAGACGTTCGTCGGCGACACGGCCACCGCCATCGGCTGGGGACGCACCGCACACGGTCCGTGTCGTGCCAGTGGCTGGGGACGGGCCGCACACGGTCCGTGTCGTGCCAGTGGCTGGGGACGCACCGCACACGGTCCGTGTCGTGCCAGTGGCTGGGGACGCACCGCACACGGTCCGTGTCGCGCCAGTGGCTGGGGACGGGCGGTGCACTGTCGTTATACTGCCGGCAGGATGTGGGCGTTACATGTTCACAGAACATGATCAGCCCAGCGCAGCGTGCGATTAGTGCGGGGTATCGCCAGGCGTGGATAATCCGCCACGCTCACCTGCTCTACCAGTCGTTGACCACATTTGGCGCTCTCGAAACACGAAACACCTCGTTCGGCCACATCCAAGCTGTCTATGATGGTTGGGCTCGAATCTTTCTCTGCCGTGTACGTTAAGATTGGGCACTTTCGTACGGCGACGCGATGGCACCTCATTTTTTTCTGGAATGCCATCGCTAGATATATGACTATTATAAAGCAACCCTGAGTCGAATTCACGGCATTCACCGAAGACATAACCTCTGACTGACCTCTACATCTGATGGAAGACCGGACCTTTGACCAGTCGGCTGACCTCTGGCTGACCTTTGGCAGGGATCGCGTCGACGCCGAACGTGCTGCAGGAGGTGGACGTGGTGGTGATTGACAAAGAAACGTGTCAGGAGTGGTACCGCGGCGCCGGGCGACGCGAGACCATCCACGAGGTGTTCCTCTGCGCCGGCTACAAGGACGGTGGCCGAGACAGCTGTCAGGTGAGGGCCGGGTGCTGCTCCGTGGTGTGGCAGGAAACGGTGTTGGGGGGGGGGACGGGGGGGGGGGCACTCGTCAGTTTAGGACTGGGGCGTTTCTCGGAGCTGTAAACCAGACAAAAGTGGTGGACGCGGTGAGGACAGCCGTCAGATTAGGCAAGGGAAACTGGTGAATGAGTCAAAGGCTGATTAATGGTAGCAGTTATGCTGGATGTCAGTGACGCCACAAGCAAGACATACATGATGCTGCTATGGGCCTAATTCTTTGAAGGCACTGTTCTAATCTGCCGTACGTATGTACCGCCGGGGCGATGAATCTAGCGTGACATACCCGTGGCCCTGGCCACCCTGTATCTGAGCATGGTCACGACCATGCCACCCCGTCTGGGGTGACGCTGCATCTGAGCGCTGCCCCGTCTGTGGTGACGCTGCATCTGAGCGATGCACTCCTGCGCCTTCGGTGGCTCTGCGTCTGACCGTGGCCTGTCCGTGCACGCAGGGCGACAGCGGCGGCCCGCTGACGCTGTACAAGGGCGGCCGGAGAACACTGATCGGCCTGGTCAGCTGGGGCATCGGCTGCGCACGCGCCGGCCTGCCCGGCGTCTACACAAACATAGCCAAGTTCATGGGTTGGATCAACCAGTACATCAACACGTAGGCGGGTGTGCGCGCCGCGGGTCCCACCGCGACCGCCGGTGCCATACCTCGAGTGTCGTGAGGCAGCCTGGCGCGGCCGGCCGCCGACGCGGGCGACATCTATACCCGCCGGCCGGAACTACGCCGCCGCCGCCGAGGCGACCGCCGCCCGATTGCTCGCGCGGCCTTTGGCGGAGGTGCGCGCTGGAGCTCGCGCTGCCCCACTGCCCAGGCGGTGGCTTGCACCGGGCAGGGCTGCGCGGCCGCGGGCACGGACGGGCGATGAGGCCAGCGCGCCGTGAATGATGCTCTTGGCGGGCGTAGTGTTCAGCGGCGGGCGAGCCTGTGGTGCCCGTGATCTGGCGCGCGGTCCGAGCTGACGTCAGCAGCAGGCCAACAGTCGGTCCGGCCTCGGGCCACGCCACCGAGCTGCCGTTACTTTGTTACAATGGTGAACGCGCCCGCGGCACCACCTCTCACTTGCCGACGAGGCTGGTTTATTGTTATCGATGGCGACATTTTGAACTACCTGACCCTTGCTCGGGAGGGGGGGGGGGGGGCAGGAAAGCCCTGTTTATGCTTTTTGTCTTCGATCGATGGCATGAATCGGTGCCTTTTGTGTCCACTACGTAAGACGCAAATCGGCCGGTTCTGCAAACTGCATCTCGTAAGTCGGCTAGGATGGAATGAATCATTTCCTGTAGCTGTTTCGCTGTTGTTCTTCCCCGGGGTCAGGATAAGGACAGAGCTGTGTATTGGTTGTCGCCTGTGACAGTGCCCTGGCCGCCCGTTCTAGTCCGTGCTGTCATGACCCGTCACCGCAGAGTTGTGCACTTGTCGATGCCAGCGACATCTGTCCACCGTGCTGCGTTAGACTGTGAACGGCTGACCCATCAGAAGACCGACGCTACATCGGGCAGTATGCGCGATGCTGCCGCACGTCTGATACCCGAAGTCGAGAGCCAACGGCGCAATAGTCACTGGCCGGGCTCACCTCCCACACACGGCGAGTTAGGTGCACTCGCTCTACATTGTGACAGCCTGTGGCCCAGTTTTATTTGGTGATGTGTCGACAACAGTGATATGCAGCCGTTTCAGGGGCCAGCGGGTGCGGGTAGTCAGACATTGGCATCATATCCGTCCAAGGGTGCGTCCGACGGGCTGCACTGAGCCGCGGTGCGCTTCGCTCACCGGCACCTGGCGCAGGAGCCGCAGGACCGCGCGCGTTCGGCGCCGTCGCAGGCGCCGGTCACTCCCCGGGCAGCGGGGCACGGCCGACCCCAGCGGCCTCCATGGATCGTGGCACTGACGGTTCTGGAGGCCCGGAGCCGGGTCGAATGTAGCCCCAGCGGTCTCCGTGGATCGTGGCGCTGATGGTCCTGGCGGCCCGGAGCCGGGCCCGATGTAGCCCTAGCGGCCCCCGTGGATCGCTGAGCTGGTGGTTCTGGCGGCCCGGAGCCGGGCCGGATGTACGGACGGGTGTAATCGGGTCGGTGACACGCTCCAGTAGGGACCCTCAGACCGCCCTTAGGACGTTCAGTTGCAGTGGAAAGGAAACGAGAACCCTGACCAGGTACGTTCATGACCATTTGAGGCCAGCTGCTAGCGATGAGCTAAATATGGATGGTGCTGTGTAGCATATGCTTTCCTTCACGGCGTTTCTGCCGTGTTTCTGATATTTCTGATCTGTTAGCCCGCTTAAAAACCCGTCTCTACTTTCCTTAGCTGTTCTACTGACATGGGTCACAGTCGTTTGGAGGTCCTCTCTTGGACCCCATATGCTGCTCCGCCTCAAGGTGCGGCGGTCCCCTGGCGTTCAGAGCTGGACGCCGCGCATGCCAGCGGACCGGCTGGGGGCAGCTAGAGCAGGCGCGCGCGTGGCGTGGTGATGCGCTTCAAGTTCTTCCCGCAAACTGCAAACGATAAAGAGGTCGTGACTGACCTGAATTCTTCGACCCCAAACCCCCAACGATGTCTCAACTCTGCGACAAATCCCCTGCCAATGCACGTGGACATCAGACAAAGCAAGCATCGTGAAAGCTGAAGACATACTCATTATTATACCAGCGTGAGAAAAGAAAACTGCAGCTGCTCGCATTGCCCCGACAGTGCCTTTGACTCTGATGGCTGTCTGTACCGTGTTATTTATTTCATGTTGTTCCATATGAAATGACCCCATTTTAGAGTGATGCATGTAATGTGCCAGTGGCAGTGTAAGTGGCAGCCGGAAGGAAATTAGGCTACATATGATTCTGGCTACCGTTGTTACATATTCAATATTTTGCTATTACCTCTGCAGCGTGACGTGTGTACCACACAAAGCTTTAGAGTCTGTTATTCGAGATTGTTAGTTGTTTGTTGCACATTTAGTGATAGACATAAGTGCTGTTTTGTCTTTAGAAGTGCACATTAAGCGGAATAATATATGATGACATATTGCATTGGGATTTTTCTGGATCTGTACGTTTTAACATCAGTGATGACACATTGGCATGCCATCCACGCTTAATTGTTCCACCACAGCCACTTTTCCTTGAGAATTAAACTCTAATCAAAGTAACTGAATCATTCGCGCACTTGCCTAATGGTACAAATTACGTAAGCACGTGAAATCCAGGCTTTGTGTGACGACATTGGCAACTGGCGGAACCAGCCGTCCACTTCTCACATCAGCTCAGATTACCACCATGTCACGTGCTAATCGTATGCGAGAAAATAAGGGGTGGCATGAAAGCAGAAGCACTGAATGTATGTCCGCGTGCAACCAGGCACTGGCATGTCCATTCGGGACAGGTGCCAGACGCAGGACAAAAGGCCGACACAGCAGGGCGCCGCGGCCGGATACACCGGAGAGTAAAAGTGCCTGACCTCTGGCACTGAAAACTGGCCCGCTAGTGGCGATCCTTCATCATCGGTCCGCGGGTGGCGATCCTCCATAACTGGCCCGCTGGTGGCGATCCTCCATAACTGGCCCGCTGGTGACAATCCTCCATAACTGGTCCGCTGGTGGCGATCCTCCACCACCGGCCCGCCGGTGGCGATCCTCCATAACTGGTCCGCTGGTGGCGATCCTCCATAACTGGTCCGCTGGTGGCGATCCTCCATAACCGGCCCGCCAGTGGCGATCCTCCATAACTGGCCCGCCGGTGGCGATCCTCCATAACTGGTCCGCTGGTGGCGATCCTCCATAGCTGGTCCGCTGGTGGCGATCCTCCATAACTGGTCCGCTGGTGGCGATCCTCCATAACTGGCCCGCCGGTGGCGATCCTCCATAACTGGTCCGCTGGTGGCGATCCTCCATAACCGGCCCGCCAGTGGCGATCCTCCATAACTGGTCCGCTGGTGGCGATCCTCCATAACTGGTCCGCTGGTGGCGATCCTCCATAACTGGTCCGCTGGTGGCGATCCTCCACCACCGGCCCGCCGGTGGCGATCCTCCATAACTGGTCCGCTGGTGGCGATCCTCCATAACTGGCCCGCCAGTGGCGATCCTCCATAACTGGCCCGCCGGTGGCGATTCTCCATAACTGGTCCGCTGGTGGCGATCCTCCATAACTGGTCCGCTGGTGGCGATCCTCCATAACTGGCCCGCCGGTGGCGATCCTCCATAACTGGTCCGCTGGTAGCGATCCTCCAAAACTGGCCCGCTGGTGGCGATCCTCCATAACTGGCCCGCTGGTGGCGATCCTCCATAACCGGCCCGCCAGTGGCGATCCTCCATAACTGGCCCGCCAGTGGCGATCCTCCATAACTGGCCCGCCGGTGGCGATCCTCCATAACTGGTCCGCTGGTGGCGATCCTCCATAACTGGTCCGCTGGTGGCGATCCTCCATAACTGGTCCGCTGGTAGCGATCCTCCACCACCGGCCCGCCGGTGGCGATCCTCCATAACTGGTCCGCTGGTGGCAATCCTCCAAAACTGGCCCGCCGGTGGCGATCCTCCGCCACCGGCCCGCCGGTGGCGATCCTCCATAACTGGTCCGCTGGTGGCGATCCTCCATAACTGGTCCGCTGGTGGCGATCCTCCACCACCGGCCCGCCGGTGGCGATCCTCCATAACTGGTCCGCTGGTGGCGATCCTCCATCACTGGCCCGCCGATGGCGATCCTCCATAGCTTTCACACACCCGTGCCGGCGGCGGGTCATCGGGTCACCGACCCGTGACCGCCTGCAGCGCGCCTCAACCACCTCTCGTTCGTGACTCAGTCAACGATCAACCAGGACCAGCGACGACTCGGTCACGACTCAGAACCGGCTCGGCCGTGACTAAACTGCGAATCGGGCGCAAGCGAGCCAAGACGCATTGAGGTCGAGTCGCGACTCAGCAGCGGCCCGGACGAGGTTTAGTCACGACCTTGACACGGCCAGGTCACGGGCTTTGTTTCGACCTGGTCACGGACCGAGTCACGGCCCGAGTCACGAAGCAGCCACGCCTTGCTTCCGACCGTCACGACTTATGGAAACATCCGGTCACGAAGTATGCGTTGTTTGGTCACGAGTCATTTACATCATGACGTCACGGAAACAGTTCGATCAAATGCTAGATTATATCGCGAATGTCACGTTGTCAGACCACGACTGTGCCATGACCAACAGACACTCTGAGTTCTGCAGTACTGGCTTGGACCCAGCGTCCTGAGATGGTGAAAGAAAACATACGTTCTCTCTTGGCTTGGCTTCAGGCTATTTCAAGTAATTGCCCACTTTCCGGTATCGCGCACCAGAGACTTGAATACGTTCAGGATTATGAGCTGGAGATTTGCAGCGTAGCCCAGGGAACGGCATTTGTAACTCGAAGGGGGATGTCGCCAAGGTGACAGTGCAACAACTGCAGCACCACAGTGACTGCAACATGGCGACCGTACTGTACGGACGGCAGGCCACAGCGACAGCACCAGAACGACAGTGCCATAACTGCAGCACCACGGTGACTGTACCATAGCGACTGCGCTATACCAACAGTACCCCAACAGCAGGCCACAGCGACAGCACCAGAGCGACAGTGTCACATGGACAATATCACAGCGAGAGCACCAGAACGACAGCGGCACACAGACAGTATTACAGCTACCGCGGCACGTATTACAGTCGCGCTGCGTCAGCGCCACGGCAGCGCCCCAGCGCCGCTGCCGCCGGCCGTCGCCGGTGCAGGCGGCCGCTCGGCATGACCTGGTGCCTTACTTGGAGCGACACCAGCCGGATCCGAGTCCTGCTCGGCCGGGACGGCCGGCCGCACCGGCAGACGGCGGGTCGCCCGCCACCGGCTGCGCCGCGCGCAAGGTCGCCCCGAAGGCCGGCCGCCGACGCCGCCGCACAGCACAGGGTCGCAGGCCTCCCGGACACCGGCACAGGCAGGCTGTCCTGTCCCGCGCCCATCTCTCAGCTGACGAGACGATGGCTTCGGGCCAGGCAGTGCGTGGCAGCGGTGTTCAGTGACGTGTGTGCAAACGCGCGGCAGAAGACGTGCTGCAACGCTTGCGTGCTGTTGGAATTAAGAGATGCTCACATCACCGTTATGCGCCGCGCTTGTTTGCAAGGGAACAGCACAGGAAAGCTAAAGCTCATGAATGGGGACTTTGGTTCCGCGTCTCGAATAGACATTCAACACCTGTTGACACTCCAAGCGACAAGCAAAACATTCAAAGTACTGTTGTCACGCGGTCTGTTTTCGAGTGGAACGCTGCTATAATGCTTTGCATACATTCGTGCAAAGAACCCGCGGCACCAGCGTATAGGTCCACCCGTGTATCAAAGCGAAGGGCATTGGCCCAGCGATGTTTCGAACCAGCCTGTCACGGTGGCTTGTCCCCTGGTGCCGAGGCTCGGCAGACCAGCAGGCACCTTACGCAGACGGCTCTGTCCACCGGGTGCGGAGGTTCGGCGCACCAGCAGGTGCCCTATGCAGACGGATCTGTCCACCGGGTACGATCATCATCTAGCTCGGACCGGGCCTCTGCCACCAGCAGCCGCCACCAGAGCCTCTGTTGTCACACGTCCGACCCACAAAACTGGAGCACAGGCACAGTCCAGGCAGTGAGGTGCTACTATCCTTAGTATTGGGACGTGGCTCAAAAAGAATAACGCAATACCGACGGATGAAACCGGTCAGGAATGCACGAACGCAGTGGCATGCCCTGCAAATGCCAGGTTTTTGTGAGGTTCGTAGTCTGACATTAAGAGCCTTTAGCTGGGCTATAACGGCGTCTATGTTGCCTCTTATCCAGCACGGAGCACCCGTCAATTAGCATACCCAAACGAGGCTAATGCAGCATACATTATGCGCGTGGCTGTTCTAAAATGACGGGCTGGGCAAGAGGGAACAGCAAGGCGGATCATCAAACTGATCGTGGATGGAACCGCGGCGTGTTTGTCGCAAGACCGTCACACACAGGGTATCGAAGCCCCGCGGGCTGCTGTGGTCTCTAGCCGCATGGCGAGAGTTTATAATCAGCCGATCCAGCAAGACGCAGGAAGGCTGGTCCGAGATTTGACTGTCCAAAGTAAATCATCGATAGACGAGGACTCGGTGTTTTGATCTGATATCCGATGAGCATATTAAACGGAGCTTTACATCATTCGTGTTCATTGAAATGTACGCTAAAACGAAAAATTCCAAAAAAAACGAATAAAACGGAATATTGTCATGTACTGTACACTGCCGAGGTGTCGTGCATAACTTTCCAGCTCGCCGACTTGACTGGCTTATAGACGACGTGGATTGGCAGCCAAATTTGTGAGGCCACTTAGCCGAGCGACAAGCTGACGGAGTGAAAGATCTGTGTTCATTTGGTCACCCACAACCATTTAAAAAAAAAACTCCACACCTGTCGTCGATAGAGTACTGGAAACCTTACCAAGCTTTTATAGCAAATGGTACAGGTACCCTAGTACCCTTCGCCCTCCATCTTCAGTAGCCATACCCTGCCCTATCCTCTACCTTAGTACCCTTACCCTCTAAGCAAGCCATGGCAACGACGATACCAGCTTTCGTGTGTAGGTCGTCTTGGTCTTTTGGGCAGCATTGCAAACGTTTCTAAAGATTCCCGTCAGTCTTCCGATTTAGCGTTGTTCCAAAAATTCGATGACTCCTATGAATGACGTTTCATTTCAACAAGCCGGCATTTTCATTTTACATCGCGTGTATTGCTCAGGAATTGCAGCGGCTCGCTAGCCGCCTGGCCCGTTGTGGCCAGCCGACTGAGAGGTAGGCACGTCCACGCAGTTAGACAATGCTCTCGACAACGGTACATCAGATAACATGCTGCAGCTACGTCACGCCGAATATGGACATCATAACGGTCATGCAGAGAGGCTTTGCATTGACACTCTGGGAGCTATGAGCCTACTGTTGGTTCATTATCACATTTTGGTGTGCCACTTGCGTCTCGAGTAATTGGACTTAAACAAACCGAGATCTAGTCGGGCATATGTTCTCCTCAGTCCATCGTGGTTTCACCCCGTCCCATGGGTCACATTCTGTCCCAGTGGTCACACTTTGTCCCGGGGACATACCGTCCGTCCCGAGGGCTACACACAGTTCTCTTGATCACACGGTCTGTTTTGGTTTCGCACGGTCGGTCCCACGATCTTCGATACAATCTACCTTCTCCTTGCCATTGGCCTCTCACGGTCAACTCCTAGTGTCTCGACTTCGGCCTCGTGGCTTCTCTACGATCAGTCTCGCAGCTCACTCACGGACGCCTTGCAGCCAAAACCGCGGCACACTCGCGTGTTCCCCGCCATCCGCTGCCGGTCAGCTCCCGTCGGCTGGCGGCGCGCTCACGGCCAGCCCGCGGTCAGCTCAATGTCAGCCGGCGGACGACTCAATGTCAGCCCGGCGCCTCACCCACGGCCGCCCGCGGCCGGCCGTCGGCGGCTGGCAGGCGGTTTCTCCGCACCGGTGCCGCGGTTTCTCCGGCGTGCGGCGTCCGGCTCCGGCGGCGCGGTGCGGCGTCCCAGCGGCGCCGACCGCGACAACACGGGCGCCGCGCCGAAACCGTGTCAGCCGGCCGGCGGCGGCGGCGGCGGCCAGACCGGAGGCCGCCGCCGCCGCCGCCGCCGCCGCGGTGATACGGCGCATTCCGCGCCGCGTCCGGCAGACGGGTCACTTCGCCACTCATCCTCACTCGAACGGCTCAGCCCATCACCCACGGCCACCGGCGGCGATGCGTGACGTCAGTACACCGGGTCACAACGGCCGGCCGTCAGTCCGGTGCGGTGCCCGGGGCGTACGGGCGGCGCGCAGTCCGGCCAGGTAGTCCTTCGCCAGGTGGAAGTAGATCCAGTTAACGTAGTCTGAGATCTTGACGTACACGCCTGGAGACGAGGGCAGCGCGTTAGGGTTGGTGCTGGCCGGAACTGGAGATCTGGCGCGTACGTCCTATCGGCGTCATGGCTTCAATAGCCGCCGAGAATGCGGACGCGCACCGAAACCGATACAGTTCACCGGCCGGATGGTGCGCGAGCTTTCTATGGCGTCGCCCTGCCCTGGAATGTTCCCGCATTCCTTGCTTTATCCATGGAGCATTAACCCATTTCCCGAAGGCTATGCCATCTGTGAGACACGTGCCGAGAGCAACGCGCAAAACGGCTGCACGGTGATGGCTTTACCTGGTAACTCCTGCCACCCAGCGGTGCTGCTCACCCTACATTTCCAAACGGTTACTAGCAGACCGCGGCACCACGTGATTAAACGACACCACCAGACCAGGCGTGTCAATTTTTGTAAATTATTGGGAGGGCCGAAACGAAGGCCCGACAACCTGCCCCCCCCCCTCCATTTTTTTCTTACCGGGTTTAGCCATAAATATGGCTTTTATAAGCCATTTAAACTTTATATAATCTACAAAAGTCTTTAATTTAGACAGAGTAGAAATCATGCAAGGTTGGATCCAGGGAGCAAGCACTAGACGCACGCGTCTCTTCTAGTTTCTTGTAGTATTCCCGCCAAAAACATTGAGGGGGGGGGGGGGGGCAAGCCAGCGTTGAGGGGGTGGGGCAACTCAACATTGGGGGAGGGGGACCGGGCTCTCACAAAAGAACACAAATCGACACCCGTGCACCAGACCAAGGCACCGCATTATCAAACGGTCACCACCAGACCAAGGCACTGCATGATCAAACAGTCATGAACAGACCAAGGCATCGCATGATCAAGCGGCCACCCGTGCACCAGACCAAGGCACCGCATGATCAAACTGTCATCACCAGACCAAGGCACCACGTGATCAAACTGTCATCACCAGACCAAGGCACCGCATGACCAAACGGTCATGAACAGACCGCAGCATACAATGACAAAACGGTCAACGTTAGGCCAAGACTTCACATGAATAAATAATCACCCAGATTACGGCATCGCATTGCCACATGGTCACTACCAGACAGCGACATTGCGTGACCAGACGCCCGTGGCCAAAGAACGGCATCATACAACCAAACGGTCGCCATTGGACCGCTGGGGTTCGCGGCGGAGTCGTCAGCCTTGCATAACGGTACGTTTCCCAGAAGATTCAGCCTTAATATACACAACGGGAAACCATTCAAGGCAATACCGCATCATGCATTCATTCGTTCCAGTGCAGTGAAATGCCATCGCTAAGGTGCCCGCATGTGTTTTGCATGACTTGTTCATTGGGACGGCACATCAGGCAGACCGGGCTCATCAGGACGGCACACCAGGTAGACCGGGCACATCAGGACGGCACATCAGGCAGACCGGGCACATCAGGACGGCACACCAGGTAGACCGGGCACATCAGGACGGCACACCAGGTAGACCGGGCACATCAGGACGGCACATCAGGCAGACCGGGCACATCAGGACGGCACACCAGGTAGACCGGGCACATCAGGACGGCACATCAGGCAGACCGGGCACATCAGGACGGCACACCAGGTAGACCGGGCACATCATGGACGGCACAGCAGGCAGACCGGGCACATCAGGACGGCAAACCAGGTAGACCGGGCACATCAGACGGCACATCAGGCAGACCGGGGCACATCAGGACGGCACACCAGGTAGACCGGGCACATCAGGACGGCACATCAGGCAGACCGGGCACATCAGGACGGCACACCAGGTAGACCGGGCACATCAGGACGGCACATCAGTCAGACCGGGCACATCAGGACGGCACACACCAGGTAGACCGGGCACATCAGGACGGCACAGCAGGCAGACCGGGCTCATCAGGACGCACGTCAGGCAGACCGGGCACATAGGACGGCACAGCAGGCAGACCGGGTACATCAGGACGGCACATCAGGCAGACCGGGTACATCAGGACGGCACATCAGGCAGACCGGGCACATCAGGACGGCACACCAGGTAGACCGGGCACATCAGGACGGCACAGCAGGCAGACCGGGCACATCAGGACGGCACCACCAGGTAGACCGGGCACATCAGGACGGCACAGCAGGCAGACCGGGCACATCAGGACGGCCACACCAGGTAGACCGGGCACATCAGGACGGCATAGCAGGCAGACCGGGCACAATCAGGACGGCACACCCAGGTAGACCGGGCACATCAAGGACGGCACATCAGGCAGACCGGGCACATCAGGACGGCACACAGGTAGACCGGGCACATCAGGATGGACGCGCACACCATGCACACCGCCCGCACAGGGGAGCGACGCGCGCCAAGCAGACCCGTCAGACTTACTGGGGTAGTTTTGTCGAGCGCAGCCGACGCCCCAGCTGGTGACCCCGATCTGGACCCAGGCGCCGTCCTCGCGCCGACACTGCAGCGGGCCTCCCGAGTCGCCCTGCCGAGTCGCACCAGTTTAGTCGCACCACAAATAGTCATTGTCACGGAAACGGGGGACATCCGACAAGTGGCCGGCTGGCGCGGTGGACTGCAATTACAGTGGTGCAGTAGCGAGTGCACGAATGGATGCACGCTGTACTTGAAGGCTCGTTTCAGCTGCATGCTTCGCGAACCACTGAAAGATCGTTCAGTGAAAGTTATGAGTGATGGGTGAGTTGCAAACATGCGTTTCAACAAAATATAAAACATATTTTTCCACAGTTTTTTAGGACTACTCGCCACTGCTGACTCATCACACAAGGGCCTTCGTTGGGCTGGCCTGCGATGCTCACTCACGACACAAGGGCCTTTATTGGGCTGGCCTGCGCCGCTCACTCCCCACACAAGGGCCTTTGTTGGTCTGGCCTGCGCTGCTCACTCACCACACAAGGGCCTTTGTTGGGCTGGTCGCCGCCGGCACACACCATGCCCGGCGTGATGGGGTTGATGCTCTCGTACTTTTTATAGCAGTCGTTGTAAGGAATGACCGGCACGGCAATCTTCTGAAGTAGCTCGGAATCCGAACCATCTGGGAAGGAGCCGACGCGTCACTGTAAGTAACGGCAGCGCGGCAGGAGTGAACAGTCACGGTAAGTAACGGCAGCGCTGCAGGAACAAGCAGTCACATAATGTGACGGCAGCGCTGCAGGAGTGAGCAGTCACAGAACGTGGCGGCACCGCTGCATGGGACGAGCAAATACGCATCACAATGGTAGGGAAATTCGAGGGAGACGAGCAGCGACAGGAGAGTAAAAGAGATCAGATACTTCACATATAGTGATCATGAGAAGCACTGCCCAAACTATGCGAGAGCTAGCAGTGTGGGGTCGGGTATCTACGGCAAAAAGTAACGAGCAATGCAAACAGGAAATTCATTGAAGCGTATCCAGGGAAGGCGGCTTCCTGGCGGTGATTGGTCCCAGTCGTCAGACATGCGCGGGCCGTGGCGGGTCACTTACTTTCGGTGACCTTGCCCCAGCCGGTGACGTGACAGAGGTGGCCCTCGAAGCTGGCACTGGCACCCGGCAGGCAGACGGTGTTGACACCAGTCATTTGGTCCAACGCCAGCGGCTCCCGCAGCTTCACCAGCGCGATGTCGTGGTTCCATGTCTTGGCGTCAAAGTACTGCGGTGCAAGGCACGGCGGTACTAAGATTGGGGGTGATCCGAGCGACGGTGGAGTGAAACGCGAGTTCATTGGTAAAAATGCGATTAATGACAGCGCGCTACACCTAGGTAGGAAGAAGAGAACGGCTCACTAAACATAAAGATGCATGCAATGTCTATCAACTTTGTGAACACGAAATTACGGGCATGAAGCTTGGGCTACAGATACACGAAATAGCGCAGACTGTGCAGCTGGGCGACCAGGAGTTTTACCAGATCTAGGGAATATTTGCTGACTTCCTGCAGTGGCTCGCACCTCGCCGGCCGTCCTGCGCCACCCGAGGTCTGACCTTGTGCGTGATGATCTTGGAGACGCCGGCCAGGTGCGGCGGCTGCCTGTCACTCAGCTCAATGTGGCCCATCTTGACGATCCAGAAAACGGGCGGGATGGTGAACCCGAACAGCGGGCTGAAACCAGCCGCCCGTCAGTACAAACACCAGCGAACCATCCGCCCGTCAGTACAAACACCAGCGAACCATCTGCCCGTCGGTGCGAACATCAGTGAACCAGCCGCCCGTCAGTACAAACACCAGCAAACCATCCTCCCGTCAGTACAAACACCAGCGAACCATCCGCCCGTCGGTGCGAGCACACACCAGCCGCCCGCCAGTGCAAACATCAGTGGGCCAGACGTCCGTCAGTGCGAACACAAGTGTACTGGTTGTCCGTCAGTGCAAACATCAGTGAACAAGCCGCCCATAAGTGCAAACATCAGTGAGCCAGACGTTCATCAGTGAGAACACAAGTACACCGGTTGTCCGTCAGTGCGAACATCAGCGAGCCAGCCGTCCGTCAGTGTCAATATCAGTGAGCCAGACGTCCGTCGATGCGAACACAAGTGCACCGGATGTCCGTCAGTGCAAACATCAACGAACCGGTCGCCTGTCAGTGCGAGCAGCAGCAGCGGATAGAAAACGACAGAGTACACTAGGGAAGCCTTCACTAACCAGCAGCTCGCCTTGCTAACCATAGATGACTGGACGAAAGCAGAAGTCCGTCGGAATGGGCCTAATCGCAAAACATCCAGGTGACCTTTCTCAAGCAGCGAAAGCGGCACGGTTGCCGTAGCAAGCTCCTCGCCCACCGTCTCGCACGCCTGAGATTTCAACAACCCTCGTGTATACTTGTCATGGAGTTACATTTTTCAAGTCAGTGGGGAGCAAACACCGACCACGTTTGCGTGCGAACCTTGAAATATCACTTTCCTTTCGGACAAAGACGTTACGAGCCTAACAATCTCAGGCGGGTCTGCCGGGCCTGTACGCGCCCCTCTTACGCCGCAACGGACACGTGCCCAGACAGCTAGCGAGCCATCCGATAACAACGCTGGCGCGGCGGCCGGTGAATGCCTGGAGGACACACTTCACTAGTGCCATCTTGTGCGTTCTCTCATTGGTGGCAGCGAAAATGCCCTACTGTTTTGAGTTTAGTGCACATGAAGTTTTAGTTTCAATTCCTATTTTATTTTCTTTCATTACGGCCTCATTTTTGCCACTTTTTTAAATGCAAGGTACCTTACCGTTTTTCATTGTCATTGGCGTTCCAATAAAATTTTGATAAGGTCTGGGTCTTCCACAGTCTTAGGTACAATACAGGAAATTTAACAAGCTGTTTTGACGTTGAAGTCTCATATTCATAACGTCTTCAAGCATCAATAGCTTGCTCATGATTTTGCATGAACCCGTTTGATAGTAATCTGATGATCTCAATCACAGCCCTCGCAATAGTTTTGAAATCGACTGTGATAGCAAAAGCAGAAGCATCCACGTTCGGTCTACCATTCAGCAGGCCTCCACCGTTTTAGGGAAATTCACCCATTCGGAGACGTCTGGTAGTGACGACGGGGAGCGAGGAAACCTCTGGACGCAAATTTACTCACATGTTACGGAACGAATATACTGACCACCATAACTATGTTCAGCTCCACCAGCCAAATGTTCATCGGACCCCAACGCTTTTGCTGAACGCATATACATATCAAGTGTGCACAGGAACGGTCCATGGCTCCGTGATTAGCACTGCTACTTTGCACCAATCACAGAGCACCGCTTTACACCCAGCACCATTAGCACAAGCACAATCATATATTTCTGGTAGGAAACGCCAGAGGAGAGACCCTGCTTTGCATCATACAGTACAACACAACACGACACAACACAACACGACACAACACAACACGACACAAACACAACACGACACAACACAACACGACACAACACAACACGACACAACACAACACGACAAAAGTCTCACCAGCCCATCGTGGGCTCGGCGGTCGCAAGGTTTGTTTAGTGTTCTGTCGCGAAGAAAGCTAGCCACGCCTACTGGCTGCGGCCAACAGCGGATGCCATCGAGTAATACGTACAGGCAGATGGAAACACTACAAGGTTTTCCCGAATTCCTAGTTCGTTTCCATAAAGGCATGTAGCTGTAATATCAGTCTGTCAATCTTTCCATTCTCTTGGTTATTCGACGAAAAATCTAATAGAACTGTCTTTTTACACGTATGATGTTCTTCGCAAATGCACTTGACAATTTACGCAACCTGAATTCCATACGGTCTGATGGACAGCAGATGAAAAAAGCCATCCTCTACATCCAACCACTCCCTGCATCCTCCGCTTCACGACACATCCAGGCAGCGCCTTGTCTCACACGGGTATATCACCACCGGCAGCCCTGAGTCGGCCTTCACCGGAGCATACCGCCACCGGCAGCCATGAGTGGGCCTTCACCGGAGCATACCGCCACCGGCAGCCGTGAGTCGGCCTTCACCGCGGCATACCGACACCGGTAGCCGTCAGTCGGCCTTCACCGGGGCATACCGACACCAGCAGCCGTGAGTCGGCCCTCACCGGGGCATACCGACACCGGCAGCCGTCAGTCGGCCTTCACTGGGGCATACCGACACCGGTAGCCGTCAGTCAGCCTTCACCGGAGCATACCGCCACCGGCAGCCGTGAGTCGGCCTTCACCGGAGCATACCGCCACCGGCAGCCATGAGTGGGCCTTCACCGGAGCATACCGCCACCGGCAGCCATGACTCGGCCTTCACCGGAGCATACCGCCACCGGCAGCCGTCAGCCAGCCTTCATCGGAGGCATACCGACGCCGGCAGCCGTGAGACGGCCTCACGAACGCCCTGGTCGAAAGACCCACGTGAGCACAGGCGTCTTGGAGATGGGGGACTGCTCCATCTCTGACCCCCACACCTCAATCTCCAGGCATGTAACGGCATATGATGTTCGAAAGAGATATGAACCTACCAAACAAACCTAAGCCAGTGTGGCACTCTTGCCATCCGTGGTACCGACACACCGCCGGTTGTGGCTGGGCTGTGCTGCAGAACAAGCTGTATCGGCTCGATCTTTGCAACCGCCGGTCCACTTTTGACATTTGTCTCTATTTTGATCTGGAACGAGCTTATCTGTGCTTGACGAGATAATAGACCTTTAAGGCCAAGCGCAACTGCTTTGAACACTGCGTACACTACGCGTGTGACATCAAAGCAGTTCAACTTTATTTGGTCTAACAAGAGGTGCATGACCAGTGAGACATAATTCGCCTTATGTTCAAATGATTGACAAGGAATGCCCGCTTGCGTTTTCATTAGCATTAGCATTTCATTCATTTCATTCACGTAATTATGTAAGCCATTTGTCTACAAAATATTCATCGTCATAATTCAGATAAATTCAGGCTGTTATGGTTAAGAAAACAAATCCACAGTACAAGGGAAGTCGGTAATGCCAACTTCGCGAGGAATTATAAGGGAACAAACAACCACTAAGGAAAACCACAATGGCCTCGACATATGCTGTTACCACCTTAACGATGGGAGCGCTCTAAATAGTAGGTTCAAAGACAGAGCTTTTCATTCGGCATCGTAGGCAGTTTTTGCCACCGCCTGCATTTAGGCATGTTCATTACAGGCATACCACAGTCGCCATTTCAACGCGAGTAGCGATCCGTGGGAACTCCTTGGAATATTAATGAATTGAAAAACTTAACACTTATCACAGAGCACCGCAAAAACCAGACCTGATATTTCTAGGCTTATTTGCGTGCAAATGGAAAGTGACAGATACCATGGTATCTTATATTCTTCACAACACAAGTTCTTCTCGACACAACACAACCAGAACCTTAAGGTACCTCTTTGGAAAGCTAATAGCTGCCAGCAAGAAACCATAACTCATTGTGGCTGAAGGCTTAGCCATACCGGCCTATAACATGGGCGGTTCAAAGCAACAGACAGGTAAGAAAGCCATCAAACGTGCGTGATGCAGACATCTTTTTGGACAAAAGTGCCTTTCTCGCGACAGGTGTGTGGGAAGTCATTCGCAGTAGGGCTGCAAAATGTTCTCATCTTGTCTTTCCTTCATTGTTTATCGGAAAACAACGTGTAGCATTTACTAAAAATTGAATGTTTTTTTTTGCTCTCAAAGTTTCTTTGTGATGTAAACGGCTTGCGGTGTAATCTTTCACTTTAATTTCGTAATTATTTGCCCATTATTCGCGTCATTCCATAAAGCTGAACTGGAGTGTCTGGGCCTCCTCATGTCGTATATTTCTGCAAGTACTTGCCCCAAATGATAATTCTGTGACCGCCATCCAGATCGGTACGCCAGAGTACCGCCCGTTCCACAACCAGGGAATAACATCGGAACCACACTTGCTTTAAACCCGTGAGCCACCACCATCTAAAATGCAACGGGGACAGCAATTATGCGATGTGCGAGATCGCACCTAAGTTAGAAGGGGCCGGCAATAAATTGCGTTATGCGTGGAAGGGAAGAATGGTTTTAATGGAGCGTAACCGAAGCGTAACAAGGAAAAGAAAAGGAGGTTTTGGATACCGTACCGTTACGCTCAGGAATGGTTGCAAATCGCGCTGAAATATTTAAACCAAACTACAGTCCTTAAGCCCATCTATCGTTGGCTCTGCCTCATAGCAAGAAAGACGCCCGTTAGCTGTTTTCGCATCTCTAGCTGGTTGGGCAACAGAATGTTTCGTTTTTCGGATTTATGACAGCCGCAGTGTAACTAGAGTGATTCCACCAGTGTATCCAGTGCGTAACCAGTGGGCCCAACACAAACGTATTTCATTAAGGCTTATTTCCACATGCGGATGCAGGGTTCCAGGGAGTGTGTGTGTGTGCGTGTGCGTGTGCGTGTGCGTGTGCGTGTGCGTGGTGCGTGTGTGTGTGTGTGGTGTGGGTGTTGGTGTTGTGTGTGTGTGTGGTGTGGTGGGGTTGTGTGTGTGTGTGTGTGTGTGTGTGTGTGTGTGTGGTGTGTGTTGTGTGTGTGTGTGTGTGTGTGTGTTGTGTGTGTGTGTGTGTGTGTGTGTGTGTGTGTGGGTGTATGTGTGTGTGTGTGCTTCGAATTAGCGGCCTGGACGAAATGACTAAAACCCGTTTAGGTACTT